TCCTGTCCATTAGTTTTTCCTACTGGATAATTGCGGAGATAGACATGACCTACTTTGAACTGGATGTGCTGACAACACCTTATGTTGTTTTATCAAGAGTTCATCTAAACTTATCCTTAATTCTGCCGTTGATGTGCTATATAATAATAATATATTCTCATTTTTTACATGAGGGACGCCAGTTTACAGGCATCATCAATATGATAAATTACATATACGATTAGTAAACATATTTAATAATAGTAATTTAATAAAATACATTTTTTCTTACCTGTGTAGGACACACCAATTGTACTGGCATGGATAAGTATTATTTAAATTACATAAATTTGGTTCATGGTTAAATTATGAGGTTGCAGTCATTTTGTCTATGGGAACAATATGATAACTAATCATTCAATGGAGCACATCAAGAAATACAGAAATATTGTCTTCGCATTAACAAAAAAACCAAGTATGTTCTAGATGGATTACAAATACTTGGGAGAAAAATGAAGCTTGAAGTCATTCCCCATATAACTTTGGTGTGTACGGCATCGTGTCTTATTCTTGATTTAAATCCAAATTTGGTGATAATTTAAAATAAGTGATAAATTTGTATACTTTTGTCAACATTTTCTTCGTAACATCACAAGCGAATAGTACTCAATGTAGACTAATAATAGTGACAGTTTATATTTTCTTATAAACGGGTGTTTTCAAGAAATGCAAGCTATTTTGCAGACAAGATCAGTTATGTTGTAAGTCACAATCGTGAAGTATTATAAATCAATACTTTTTTATTGGTATAAAGGTATATTTCACAACTGTAATCCAGGTTGCGTCGTGGGGAAATGTAATGCGTAATTCACGAAGGGATTGTAAGATATGGGACTAATAATGTTTGCAGATCATTTGTCATTGTAAATGGTCAAATATCCACTTTCTCCATTCTCATTCAAAATTTAAATGGAAGCTGAAATGGTGAGAGACAAAAGAAGACAAACAACATCAACGCAAAAGAAAGCAAGTGGAGTACTTAGGGAGTGATTAATATGTATATATACATTTATATTCTGTTTAGTAATTATAGTTATTTTGGTGCACTAACTAACTATTCCTGTGATGCCAACTTTTATATTGTGTGAACTAATATTATTGTCCTGTGTAAAAATGCCTATCATGTAGTTCCAATAATATAAAAATTTATAATTGCAGTTTGTTGTAACTACACGTTTAATGAACTTAATATCTATGTGGGGTGAAAAAGAGGGTGTAGGATTCAGACGCAGAAGTGGATTATCATCTTTGAGCAGTCTGGTGACTGAGGAGATAAACACTGCGAGTGTGTTTGCATCGCGCACATCAGCTGGTAGTCAATTCCAAATGACTGAAAACTTATTTAAGAAGAAATTATACCGCATGTAAGTCTGGCAATGCTCTATACCAGCTATAACCACCTGCACATCTCTAGCACATTTCAGTACCACTAAACTGACCAAAGTTATTTATTTATTCTCTAGATTAGAAGTTAATTAATGAAAACCTTTTCCCAATCTCTGGAACGAACCATACCAATGCCTTAGTTGTCAGTCCTAACCGTTTAGTAGGCTTAAATATACTTTAAACCATCGTAGGTGATGTGGAGAGTACATTCCGTAAAGCAAGTATATCAGTGGATGCCCCGAGTCCTACCACCGTAACTTAACTGAAATATTTTGCCTCTGACTTCGGCGAGGAACCTGAGACATCTAGGTTTAACTGTTTGTGCAGTAATGTAACCAGTGGTTGTAACGACATCGGAGTGATTCTTCATAAGAACAAATTCATTTATATTTATTTTTGGAAACCTATTGCCCAGTACACCAAATCGTAAAAAATGATCACTTGTGAAGGTATATTTTTGGGCTATATGAGTTGTATTTGAGGGCTGTGCCGGAGTCTGAATTGTAATTATGATGACTTCGTTTTGCACCCCTTGCTACTCAAGTGCGTGGCCCTGATTCCAAGAGAGATTCAATGTGTGATGTACTTAGGGGGGAATTCAAACATCTTATTTTTATTTTTTTTTATTTATTTTTGGTTACTGCTTGATGCCACACCGTATTTTCAGTACTAGTATGGCATTTTCAGCATGGATATCGGTAGCCCAAATTTTGCAGGCCGACCATAGATATCGGGTGTGCGCCGGCAGGGGCTCGAACCTCGGACCATGTGCATGGTCGGCGAGAGTCCTAACCACTGTGCCACCGACGCATTCTTCGCATCAATGCTAAGATTGATGTTTTTCAGTTCTCCATCGGTATAAATAATGACAAATGACAACATCATAAATTTTACCACTTTTTTGTGGAAATATAAGTTCACTTGTTGCCGAGGCGACGAAAATATCAGTCGCTCCACAGTTACTTCGCTTAGGATGTTTGAGGAACATTTTCCTTCATGGTTTCAGTGCGATAACAGAGTCTCTGAAAGGAATGCAATAACTGAACACCCTGTCAAAGCTGCCACTGTGTCACAACGAATTCCTCGCTCCAAACTGATTTTCACACTAAGACCACCCAGCTAAATACAGTATGCTTTTCCTCCTTTACATCCAGCTTTACACAGGAGAGAGACTTCATCGACCACTCCCACTTTCACGATAAGAACCCCGTTGTTTTCGACAAATTTGTTTGTTTTTTAAAAATTCATTAATTCCTCAATTCTTTCTTGGTCTGCTGTATTATCGTATTTGCTTTATTAATACATATACTGATTATTACTCATTTACTGAATGATTTGTCTCCCTTAGTTATCTATGTATTAATAATATCTCAACTATGCGTAAGGCAAATCTTCACGCTTATAATCCTTCTCCCTTGTATAAAACTGCATATAAATTTGAATTTGGAACTAAAGAGCATGTCTGGATTCCATTACTTCTTGAGTGGGGACCACTCATGAATTAGACTGAACACTCATTTACTCTGTATAGGACTTTCGTTGGCCAAACAGTGCTGAAGAATGACGCAGATGGTTTATACTGGTTTTCCAATCTCCTCCAGTTATTAACGCTGTGCTATCTGTTTGCATAATCTCTTATTTTCTGAGGACCTGCTAAGTGTGGCTGAAGCTAATTTGACGAAGGCTAAGGTATGTCGGGTCACTACAATCAAGTGTCTTCCGTAAATGGAGATGAACCTAGATTAGATTTTCAGAGACTTGCGTAGGAATTGCACTTTATGCTTTAGGAAGGAATCAATACCGAATTCTCCTCTAAAGCGCAACTTAGACTAATCCAGTGGTCCTGACTAATTCAGCCCACAAATAATGGCAGCACTCTTTGGGACCACAGCTGTTTATTATGGCACTTAAACCCGTTTTAGCCTCCAAGAGACTTGAAGAAGATCATGATCAGTCCTGTCCCCCAAACTATACCTACAGGCTGATTTGAGGATGGTCACCTCGTTAGTCAAACCATTAATGTCATCACACTTCTAGAGGGGATTATAAGTGATGATGCTATTAAACATCTTCAGGGCAATAAACTTTTGGCCGGGCAACAGGGTGTTTTTAGGTGTGATCATTCTTCTTTAACCGACTTTCGTTTGGGAAGGAAAAGTTTGACAAATGCAGCCAATGCTATAAGTCCGGCGGATGACACATTCGCAGACCTTGAAAAGCTACTAGTAAGATTCCCTGTATAAACTTCTTGCGAATTTAGTTGGTCTGGGGACCGACGAAGCAGTAAGTGAAGGGATTAGGAGGTCCCTAAGAACATAAAATGGGGAGGGTAAGTAAAAGATATCCTGGCACTGAGGCAACGAGAAAAGTGTGACCCATGTTACAGTTTTAATCCTTCTTCTCTGCATACTTCATATAGTAAGATGCCACTGATAACCATGTCATTCTTTCTAACGTTCGCTGATGGCACTAAGCTCATCAGGGTCTCATAAATAATAGTGAGTGACTTGCTTCTCAAGAGGATGTAGATCTGTCAGAAAATGTAACAGTCGGCCCTTGGATGTAGGTATAAGCAGGAGTACTACTGTGTATGGTGATCATAACAGCACGCAACATTTCACAAAAAAGTGGTTTTAATACATACATGGTTACTCAGCATATAAACTTAGGGGTAAAATTCTTAGCTAGCTGTACGTTGGTGGCTGCCATAAGACGTCTAATAAAAGTGAGTCTCCAAAAGGCCATATATTTCAATAATTCATTCCTAATTTCGCACTGGCGGCTTGGATTGAATCACCTAATGTTGAGATAGTGGAATGGATTTTAGCTAAACCGGCTGATTTCTCTTCTGTAGGAAGAAATATTTGTGGGGACATTAATTGAAGTTCAAAATCATGTTTGTATCAGATATGTCCGGAGATTTGTGTATCGCGTAGAATTGCGAACCAGTAAAATTCTTTAAATAAGTGATGCCAAATACTACTCATCGATTGGTTCAGTACAACCTTCACCAACTAGTAGCGTTTGCTAGACAGAGTGAAGTGACCTACATACCAAACGACCATTTCAATCTTTCGGGGTTAAGATTTGGTGATGGTGTTAACATCAAATTACTCACACAAGTCGATCAGTAGTATGTAGCGTCATACATTCATGCTTGCTTTTCAGGTCACCGTTTTTGGTATCAGACAGATCACATATTGTTATATAAATAGTTTTTGTGTCCGAGAAATTTCACCTCGAATTGTTTTAACCGCAAATCACGAACTGACTCTCAAGGTGCGAATTGAACTGAAAGCTGGACTCCTTGCTGCAACAGGTCACTTCGACACTATTTAGCGGTTTTGTGGCACCTCTAATTTACAACAGAACAAATATGGGCGTACTATTCTTGATAATCTGTAAAATGTAATTTATAAAGCACCCACTATTGTTTTTACTTAACGGTGTTATGAGGAGCGAATATTCGGCACAATATCGCCTTGTGTTGTAGGATTCCACACATTAAAAAGTTTATTATTTGGAGTGAAATAATAATGATTTGTAAAAACTTCGACCTTGGAACTTGTTTGACAGCGGAAAATTTATTATTACTTTCAAGGACAGCTATACTTTTTAGGTAGTGCTGATTATGAATCGCTTCAAGAACGTGCTGGGTAACGCCTATTGTGTAAACAGAATATGGAAGCGTTTCATTAACCTTCAAGAATTTCAATGCAAGAAGTTAATGTCCGATTTCGGCATCAATGTGCAGCGGTTTGTGATGGTTCAAAACCAAGATGAAATAAACAAAACTAAAGATACTTTTAAAGTGTGCCTCTTTATGCTGTATATGTCTATTTTATAGGTCAAGGAGTACGTCGTTAAAGCACAGATACCAGCAGGTGGCCGCGGCATGGGTGTATTCAAGAACGGATTCAAGGGTGGTGTCCATTTAACTAAGGATCCGGACCACATGGCTAACATCGTGTCAAAAATGCTTGGGAACCACCTTATTACAAAGCAAACAACGCCATCAGGAATTCTTGTTAATCAAGTGTGTTTATGGAATTTATTAAATAATTAAATTCACAAAATCAACTCTTCGTCCTGTTTTTATGAACAGTTGATTTATGTAATGAAATTGAGTTAACAAATGGTACTCAAAATTTTCGGGGTGCAACTTTATTTGATATTTTATTAATTGCTGTATTATCCTGAAAAAAGCTAGAAATCTAGTTTAGGAGCGCACTGTAGACAATGCACGCATTGTGTTCGTGATGAATGATGTGACTTTGTTTCAAGGTCATTTTGAAGATCCTTCGGTCTTCTTCAGCCTCATATGGAGATTAAAGAAGCGAGATTTCACATTAAGAGTCTCAGGATTCACTTTTGGTGGCTTTGTTTGCAAACCACAAACTGAAAGACTATTGACCGTAGAGAAAATTTAAAAACTATAAGAATATTAATAAGATCCATTTGTATAACGTAGAAGATTAGGAATAAGGAATTCTCGTCTATCGACATTTTTTCATTATAACTCCAATGACTACTTATTTAAATCTTCAAGTATTTATTTAATCATTCTTAACGTGGATGCTGTTTTCAGGTTATGGTTGCAGAAGCACTGGATATTCAGCGGGAAACTTACTTCGCTATCCTAATGGACCGGGGATCTAATTCACCTATTATGGTAGCCTGTAAAGAAGGTGGCATGGATATTGAAGAGCTAGCGAAGAATTGTCCTAACGCCATTATCAAGGAACCTATTGATCTGACCACCGGTGTAACTGGTTAGTATTTTGGAACATATATATATATATATATATATATATATATATATATATATACTCACATAACACAAGCTGTCGTTGAAATTACTGTTTAAGGTTTTTCTTTTAGAAATAACTATTTTAGAATTCGGCTGTAATGATGGTTTAATTTATTTATTGATGTAATGGCACCTGTTTCATCCTAGATTACTTAATTTTACATAATCGTTAAAAATATCCACCAGAATTTTAGGGAGAAACTTATGTATATAAATGCGATTATACAGCCTGTTAGGATGATATCGCCGAAAATGTATCTTTACCGAGCTTCTTGTTCATTTCTCTCTAATTTCATATGACCAACATTGGTATAGTTTTATTAACGGGATGGTGTTTCGAGCAAAACTATTGCTCACAATCATGTCATAATTATACTATAGCCAGGCGAATACCATTAACCATCGATAAAACAAAATAGGTGGCAAACCTCAAAACGGAGATCATTAATCTCAAATAAAATAAAGGTATTTGATAAGGAGTGAAACTTCATTGTAATAGTTAACAGACTGCAACCTAAAGATATTCTTGGAATTATAAGAAATAGGAGAAATGTATGAAGCAAGTTAGACAGTCGTATTAATATTTAGATATTATCAGTAAATAACATTGTATTGGTGTTCCACATAATCTTATCTTCTATAGCTTTTGATTTTTCAGTCTAAGCATTCATCGACTATTTAAATCCCATCTTAAGTGACTACATTAATTTATGTCAGCATGTCCTGCTTCGAAATTGAATTTACTTCTTGTGGCATTAACTCTTATGATGATACTCAAGGAAATTTGTAATTCAGGTGGTTGTTTTTAGTGTTTTCGTGTTCACACAACTGGATAGCTTACTCACGAAGCTTTCATTGCCCTTTCAGGACTTCTTGAGAGTTAATTTCAGTGTAAAGTGAAGTTTGGTAATTCCTCATGTATGAGATATCTATCTCACCTGGTGACTTTGACGTTAATTAATTGTCTACAGCGACCTTCTTATGACTGTACTCACTTGTGTTGATGTTGCTCCTCTCGTTGACCTGATGTTTGACCTCCTAACACTGACTAATGTATATTTTATCTATGTAAAAATTTCAAAGGTAACTTTATATTGGAATTAGTTGGCGGTGAAGATGTCCAAAAGGACAATAAAAGCTTTGGAACTCAGAAAATACAACATTATCAAAGATTATTATGATTAATTTGGCATGCGTTGCTGGACTAGAAGGTTCCGATGTTTATTAATAAATGAAATCTTATTTGTTTTTAGCTCATTTCTTGTTTTACATATTTTTCTTAACGGAACTACCTACTAGTTAACTTATTAAACATTTTATACTCAGGCAAGTAGAAACCTAAAGTCAGTAGGAAAGACCTCTCAGAAATATATTCTATCCATGTAATCTGCAAGTCATGGTGCTTTTTAGATGAATAAACTGCCAACTACCATTTTTGGGCACTTCAGTGTTTCTATTCATGTATATATGGAAGAAGTATATTTTATCGTTATCCAGTGCCAAATTTTTTAACAGGTTTTCCTGATCGTTATCTTGAGCATCTTTTCGCAGCAAATGGGTGTATTTTGTTTTTCCCTGCGCCTGCTTACAAACTAATAAGGAATTTTTTAAGACAGAAATTGAATCAGTTCATCTTACAAAATATGCATGTTCACCAATTCTTTAGTCATAACAGATTTTTAAAGCCAACCAGGATACATAAAACCATCTGGCATAGTTTTTTTAGGAATACAATATCATTGATGACTTCACCCCCCTTAAACGACCTGATCCAGCTGAGGGTGGATAGGCTTTGATCTTCCTCCCAAAACGCTGTCATATTGCCACGCGTCTATAATTTCTACCAGGTCTACGAAGTCCTGTTCACTGCCTTCACGCGACGTAGGTGTTCCTCACATAAGTGAATATAAGACTGCGAACGTCTGGCACTTGCAACTGAAGTGAGGGACATGTAGGTCTACGCAGGGGAGATGGAAAACTTTGATTCCAAACCTATGGTGTATATGAGCTCCGGAATCCAAGTAGATACAATGACGTATGAACTTGTTTCGGCCACTAACAACGATGGGAACGCAGCTCCACTATCTTGTGGTTCAGACTTCAAGTCAAAGGCTTGGCGGTGGCCCCTTGAAACAACGACCTGTTTCTGTCTGGGTGGCCGAGCAGTATTACAGCCCTCACACAAAACATGCAATTTTGTATGGCGCATGTTTTTGCTCCCGCATTGTACTAAGTTTGTATTTTAATAGTAATAATAAATTCAACCCTGTTTGATAATTTAATCCAAGAGTTGTTGGTTATCACTAGAAAACTGAGAAAACAATCGCACTGTTTCCTCGTGAATTTATTTATGTGTTTGTTTAATCCTACTTTAGTCTGCTTGTTTGCTTGGCTGCTTTGAAGACTTTCAGTTGTTATTAGAACTCAATTACCTGAAATGGATTTCTCATGTGTCATATTTATTGTGTCAGGGCGGATCGTGTTACTCAGTAGCCCAGGCTGAATGTAGTACAGTTAGATTCAGTGTTGAATCCCATTGGCTATAAGTTGAACTATTAAGCCATTCAGACACAAATGTACATACGTATACTGTCTCTGTTTTCTATTACATGGTTGTTGCATTTTTCTCGTCTACAGTTGAATATTTTCAGGGATTCATCCCTGCATCTTCCAAGATATATGTCAAAAATATATGTAACTTCGATTTCTTCCATCAGGCGGTTTACCATAATATGTGAAAAAAATCTGTCGCAGAATAAATATAATCTTATCAATAAGAGATGGGTTAAATGTATTGTATTGCATCACTGTACCTGAAAGTGTGGTTCACTAATTATATAGCACTAGAACTTCAGTCAGTCGGTTCCTGGTTCGAACTCCTCTCCGATTACTTCAGTCTGATGATTGAGTTACAACCAAGTATATCTTCTAGTTGTTTCCTCACCATACGTGTGCACATTAGCCATAAAGTGTTTGTCTTAAAGTTTGTCTTAAAAGACGATTCCATTGTTTTTGTAGATGAACAAGCATCCAGATTCGCTAAAGCCTTGGGATTTCTTCCTCAAACAAAACTGCATAAAGAAGCTTGCAAACAAATTCAGAAGTTATACAAAATGTTCACAGCTCTGGATTGCGTTCAGGTTAGTAGCATATATATATATATATATATATATATATATATACATGTATATAACAAACTGGTTTTTTAAGAAGAGGTTATGACTTCTGATGTTAAAACCTGTTCAACTAACTACGTAAATAATGGTTACTTATGACAGATATTGTTAATAATAATCTTCTTTGTAATCAGGGATAGACCAGTCATTGACTCTAGTAAAATGGTTGAAACAAACTAATTTCGATCGGTTATGAAAGCTGGGATATATGTAGATTGTTTCCAGATTTTGACTCCAGTCGGTTGACCCAACAGTATCTCATATCCACTCCTTGTGACATGATTTCCAATTAAACTGTTTTGTTCTCCGTTATTACCATTCCTTTGTCTCACACCTCTGTTTACTGTCTATATTATGCAGTCTTTCTACTTTCTCTTTCTTTGTGTGCTACATGGGGGGAGTGTGGTGACTTGAACTTCCGCATATATGTGCAAAGTTCTATGTCGAAAACCGACCGACCGACCTACAGTATCTCATCCCTTGAACCAATACACATGTACCTCGTGCTGTATAGTATACATCTTGTCTTTTAAAAGATCGAGCAGAAATCAAAGGGCTCTACTTTGTTTTTACCATAGCCACTATGTGATACTACAGGAATTATATTTTTCTGCCCTTGTTAATACTACAGTTACACTGGCCTCAGCTAAGTTCATAAGTAGGAACCTGTCTAGTCATCGCCTTCCTCGACGGGCAATGCTAGCTGATATAGGGTCAGGCCGGAAAAGAGCTAGCGGCGGTCAAACGAAAACATGGCACCAGTCAATGAAATCTACAACAGTTAGTCTAAGCCAGTCACGTAGGAAGGTGTAGACTTCCTGACTGGTTGGAGTCCTCGGGACGGTAAAAACCAATGGTTGGAAACAATTGGTGACATGGCTCAAAATCGTTCTCAATGGCTAGCTCAGGTGCATCCACTCCTTGTGACTTATGATTTCCAATGAAACTGTTTTGTTTTTCTTTATTACTATTTCTTTGTCTCACACCTCTGTTTACTGTCTATATTATGCATTTCTCCTACTTTCTTCTGTTGCTTTGTGTGCTACATGGGGGGAGTGTGGCGACTTGAACTGCCGCACATATGTACAAAGTTCTATGTCGAAAACAGACAGAAGTTCATAAATGTCTCTCATTGGCAATAAGTCGACTGATCTATAACTATGGGTCCGGCTTTTACGCCAGGCGTTTACTCTACAGTGTAGTGAAATCGAGTCAAGGTTTCACCTTCTTGCTACTAAATGGTAAAAACAATTTTAAAGACCGTTTGGTTTCTCAAGATTCTGTAATCCATGTGTATAATTGTTTGTAAGACAGAGTCTTCTAAACTTTTTGACTGACTGAGACTGAGTTTCAACTTAGAACTTTGCACATAAATGCAACATTTCAATTGGCCACACCCCACTTAACTTCACAAAGGTAGACAAAAGGGACTCAAAAGAACCATAATGAGCAGAAATGTGTGGGTGAAAGAATAGTAACATGGTAAAAGAATGACGCTTTAGTGAATATGAGGATCACAAAAAGTGAATGCGTCTGCGCCACCGAGAACGACTTCGAGGTATATCACCGATAGTACCAAGCTACTCGTCGTTTTCAGTGCACACAGAGTGAAGAGGAAATGAAGAGCCATTAAGTAGAAGAGTTGCATTAGTAGAAGGAAGGCAAGATAATAGAGATGAAGATGAAGACAAAGATGAGTGAGGATTAGAGAGGTGTCGCGTGCACTTCGGATTGTGAGGGCGATTGTTACTTCCCGGCTGCTCACACCGTGGAATTTGGTTGCGTGACCGCAGAGCCCAGGAGACGACTGCTTGAGGCCGGTCACATGCGGTCTGCTTTTTTTTCGTTTGGTGTGTCTCAGTAGCACACTTATCACTTCTGCCCTGTGACACAGCAGCAGGAAGCGCGGTCGTTGTTAATCCGGGCCCCAACCGATCCGGCATGATATTTTGTGATTTATTTGGAGTCATAGGATTGGATTAGGTAAACTGCTTTTAGTCTAACCACTATCCAAACAACCTTTCTGGCATGATAGGACCTACAGGAACATAAGTTCCATCCAGTATAGCCTGTTGGGTCATTGCAGTGTTCAAGCCCGACCACCACGTCAAGGTAGCAGCTTTCGGTCGGGACCAAGCTACTGCGGTTTAGCATTCCGAGGACCCCAACCAGACAGCCTATACCTCTCCCCTACGTGGCTCAAACCATTTGTCAGTGATTTCATGAACTGATGCCAGGTTTTGATCTAATCATCCCTAACATTTTTCCAGTCTAATCCTAGGTCATAGCGGTTAGGACGCTCGCCGACCATGCACATGGTCCGAGGTTCGATCCCCGGCCGGCTCACTCCTTTACCTCGCTAAACCAGAAATAATGCTGGTGAAGAGGAAAGGTTGGGCATGAGGCTAGCAACCCCATCCCGTAAAATAAACACAGCTAAAGAAACTTCAAGCCACTAGCTTGAAGCCCTATGTTCCACTGGGGAACGTGAAGGAAAAAAAATCCTAGGTCAGTAAACATTACCCGTTGATGACGACAATAGCTCAGCACGCGCGATCGATGCAGCTTCACAACCTCATCGACTGATTCCCCCTCCTCCTTAATCACCATATCATATAACTTAATGCGGGAAATAAAAGGCACACACATATGTCGTCAAAGACAACTAGCCTTTTCATATCTTCAACTGCTTAGAAAAAAAGCATTCTAAAATCGGTTACAGTAAAGGCTAGGGGTTTTAGCCCTCTTTATTTTCGTAGAAACACCATTGTTCCAGAAGAATTATGCGTATATTTCACCAGACGAACTCTGTTTTATGCAGTAATATGATAGTGTCGCTGACCTCGATCCTTCTCACAAGTTTCTTGTTTTTTTTCTGAAGTGTTCTCAATAATCAATAAACTTGTGTGCTACTGAACGGTTGCAGTCACTGTTCACATAGAAAAATCGACATATTGTTAACCCTGGTTTCTAATGATCATACAAATTTGGTTTTGTTTCATAAAACTCTTTTTCACTATAAAACTATTGGGTGCATACTTGTTGACTTGGTCTTTTTATCTTGTTCGTATTTTATTTCTTAATATTTTAGGTAGAAATTAACCCCTTTGGTGAAACAAAAGATGGTCAAGTTGTATGTTTCGATGCAAAGTTGTCGTTTGATCAGAATGCA